TGTGTTGTAACAGTCCGGGGCTTCGATGTAGAGCCTCCGATATAAGGACTTATTTTTCCTGACACTAAAACCCTTCGTGTTTCAGTCTAATGGGCTACTGACAGTAGGCCCACAGCTTCAAGGAATTTTTAAAGTATGTCTAGACCAAAAAGTAGCAACAATTACCTTTTTCCATAGGCTACTTCTACCTGTCTGTGCGCTCACTGTGAGATTAGGCTCCTTTCCATGTCAATTTAAATGCTACTGTTGAGATACAGACAGGTGACAGGTAACTGGTGACTGGACAACCCAATACAAAAAGTCCCAATGAGGTGCTGGGCCCCCACATGCCACCAGAACAGCTTCAGTGCACCTTGGCATTGATTCTCCAAGTCTTTGAACTCTCTGGGGGGATGAACGCCGTTTTTCCAACAAATAATCCCTCATGTGGCGTTGGGACTGTCATCCCAGCGGAGACCACTCAGTTATTCAGGTTTTTAATTTGTCACCTTCTGTATGCTTCTTTAGATGAAGGGCTTTGATTTAGGCTAATTTATTAGCGGTGTATTTTTAATGATAATATTAAGTGAGATTGATTTGATACAATCATGCAAAAGTGCATGTTGGCTGTGTGTTAGACACGTACTAGCTGGCGTTGGTCCTGAGAGCAGCCCTTCGGTGGCTGGATGTTAGCGAGGGAGAGAGGAGGTGCAGTCCGCCCGGGAGGCATCTCACCCACCGCAGCATCAGGGCCAGCCTGGGGAGAGAAGCAGGGGGACAAATCACTGTCCGCCTGCTGCTTTCACATATCAGTAGGCTACTGTGGGTAGCCATGTTAGGTGTAGCAATGTGTGAGGGAGGGAGAGCACGAGATTCCAAGAAAACAACCCCCCGAATTCCCCCCTCAGAGTTCAGCTGTGCGCACTGCACAGGCGCAGAACGCAGCTCGGTGCTGGAGGAGCTAAAAGGCACTAGGGCAGCCGGAGCACACGCCGACACTTCACAGCGGACAGCTGGGAAAATAATAGCAGCCTCCAGACTCCCGCTTGACTACGGGAGCTTTAAAAAACTACGTGTAGGCGCTTTAGCAAGGGAAACATCCCGCAGTTTACAGCTGGAGACAGAGTTGCGGTGCAATGGGGATGGATTTAAGGAGATGATAGTTGACTGCATGAGGTACGGTAGAGACTGAGCTGCTGATTAGCTGCAGCCTAAATTGATTATCTGCTGATTATCTGCTTGCCTGTAAACAGCGCCGTCTGTTTCAAGCGGGTTCAGAGGACAAGAAGGTCGCCGGGCTCAGCTGCGATCAGAACTGAGCCACAATCTGATACCGAAGACTCCTGTGTCAGTTATGGGCAGAGGAGCAGGAGTGAAGCCTACAGTGGTCCAGAAAATCAGAATAATCCTGTGGTTGTGTAGGCCCACTTTGCTTGTTTGTCTCTTTGCTTTTATGTATGTTTATGATATATGATAAATAATTACATTATCATTAACAAATAGTGCAAAACATTTGGTTTAATTTACAAATGTAAGCAATAACCTATTTATTGCAATTACAGCAATATATAATGATTTCACTATTATTTGCAACATTTACAGTGCTTAACAATTATTAATATTTCTGTTATGAAGGTATCACTTTGAATTATATTGCGTAAATAGCCTATTGGCCCAGTTATTAACAGAAGATCGTCTTGAAATAATCCCTGAATGTTTTATAAATGGTTGATTTGAAGTCTTTTTTAAATGCAGAGGATGGTGTTAGGGTCTTTTATATTCATTTCTTAATTATCCCAAAGTAGGCTAGTCCTGACAAGACATTGGGTATTAGGCAAACATTATTATTATTATTATTATTAGCAATAATAATAATTTCTTTCTTTTCTGTAGAGCAGGGTTGGAAAGTCACTGTTGATAGGCACTGAAGTCACCGTGGGGGTTTCTGTGACATTGACTATCATTTGATCTTTGTTGGAAAATTGTAATACTGTTAGAGGAAATGCCAGGTCTCAGCTTTTATCGATTTCCTATATAGTTGGATATTTCTTCATTTTATAATGATTTTCCAAAGGTGAATTTCTGTTTCAGTAGGCTGTAGATTTGCTGTAAGGTGGAATTAAATAGTAGCAATGTGGGATGAGGTATTTTTGTTTGCTTTGTTTACCTATTGATCACCATTGTTTGTTAGTTTATTAGGCAGTTCATTTGAAAGCATTCACTGTTTGATGCTCTGGCCTTCATGCATCTTCAAGCAAAATGGCGGCAAATTGAAATGCAATCTAAGCTAGAAAACACACACAATTCATACATAAATATTTATTTTGTGTTAGACTTTCAGACATGTTTGCATTTGTTACTTCAACATGCACATGCACCCTGTTCCAGACCTCTTGAAAGGATTTGAATAATGTGGTCAGTGTAGAATAATGCGCATAGTGATGGTGTCAGACCACTGGACCTTCCCCAACACTGTAGGAAATAAGAATGGAGCTTGTGTGTTGCCAAATGTGCAGCAGGGACAGATATGTTTTTCTAAATATTTTCTCGGTGTGGTAATGCTCAAATTCATCTTTTGTAGTCTTCCAGAGTTGCAGGGCTAATGCTGCTGTATAGGACTGTTACTGTCACTGTTTGTCATTACTGCACAGGTATTATTGGAGTGTAATGTTTTCCAAGCAGTCTCATTTAAAGCACACATTTCTTATGGTACAAACACCAGGCTCCCTTTAGGATTTTACACACACTCAAAACAAAGCACACTGATAGCACTCTGTGCTTTCATTGATTTATTTTTTTATAGAGCTGACAGGTAGCAGAGTGTGTCTTGAATATACACAGCAACAGAAACAGGTTTCTGGCTCACGCTGCTCAGTTAAACAAGACTAGTGAAAGGCCCAGGTTCACACTGTAAAAAGGCTCTGTGGCCCTTTCTCTGTCGGCCCTTATCTTTATTTACTATATTTATTAGCTTTCACAAATGTCTCGGTCAGCTTACACTGGATGCCGCCTCGCCACTGTGGCTAAGAGAGTGGCTGCTCTGTGTTTACAGGCCCACATGTCCAGTGTGCAATACTGAAGAATGACCATCACTGGGGTTTCAGATGCAGGGAGAAGAATGAAACAGCTTTTATACTGACTTGATTCTTAACAATTATTAATATTTCTATTATGAAGGTATCACAATTATATTGCGTAAATAGCCTAGTCGGCAAGTATTTGCCGATTGCTAAATTAAGATAACTGAGAACACTATCAAGTTGTTGGACAGTGATGAGAACTGTGAAATACACTCACTCTGAAATGCAGTAGCTGAAACATGATCTAAAAGACCATTTAGAGTCATTTCAATTCATGCCACAAATGTATGTTTAATTAAATGTGTCTGAAGCAGAAATTATTTTGTTAATCCATCACCAATGGTTCAGCTTTAAGTAGCACTCAGAATACAGTGTGGAAAGCGTGGAGCTGGATGAGGAGAAGCTTGGAGCAGCAGCAGCAGACAGGCACAGATGGCAGGTTGTGAAGCAGTGGGAAAGACAATGTGCAGTGGTTTTGTAGGTGTGAGAGATAGGAGGACATTCTGTATGACCCTCAACATAAGTACATCCTCCATTTTCACTCATACTAAATTAGTCACACCTGATTTCTTCTTTGGCTTTGGTCCTTTCCTTGAATCCTTGCCAACCGTGTTTTGTATTTGGACTAAGATTTACCCTTCAGACTAGGCTTCGTGGGGTTTAACAGTGTGTTAACAGCATGCATTCCATATGAAACTGCACTCACAGTTGCATTTTGACCACAGCTATGATCACAGGATGTGAGTGTGGTTTGCTCAGGTTTTGAGTCCATGTCTCTCACACAACTATGAAGTAAAACCTGAATTTTTGACATGCTGGACTGAGTTGTAGGTCAGTACGGGTTTAAGGTTCACATGAGCCATTATTAGGTGCTGGGCTAATGCTTTAGCTAGTGTATGAGACTGTATGGAGGAACAACATCCACAGAGGATTTTTTCATGCCTACAAGTTCTTTTTAATAAATGAATGAATAGATTTTAAATTCGGTGCGTTGGGGATCTATGTGATGTTTGCCCCTCTGTATGATGAGGAGCAAGGACAGCTGTGGATTGAACACCATTTAACCTTTTGACTAAAATGGTCCCGTCCCGACTGACTCTGAGCTGCTAAATGTTTAATGAAATGATCTTTAAGGACAGATGCTGACTCTAAACTGTCGGATTTATATATAGTAATTTTTTAAAGTGTCAAAGCAGTATATCATTGGTGATTCTTTAAGTATTGCCTGTATTTATATGTAAAATAGCTGAAATGTGATTAGTGATTTTGTATTGTATATATTCTAATATGAGGGAATTTATATACTGTCCATATTAAATCTAACTGTTCAAATGAGCATACAGAGTAGTCAGGAGAGCAGGAGACAAACAGTGTAGACCGTGTCAGCTGAATATTCTAACTAAATGAGGTTTCCCTTCATGTTCAGGTGAACCATGTTGCCATGTATGCAATAATAAGCCTGCTGCTTGGTTCAGGTTAATATGAGTTATTTTCTACCTTCCAGTGACTTTGCCAGACCATTTCACAAACACAAGCAATGATTGGCTGGACACAGATTCCAGTCCAAACAAATGATCTGGTTCTTACTGAAGAAAAAGTGTCCATCCCTGTATTAGAAACATATGGTGGTATATATACATACACACACACACACATATGTGCATGTATTTTTTTAATAAATATACATATATAGCACATAGCAGTTGACAGTCTATATACTGTACTGTGCATTTAAACAGAACTTAATGGCACTGTAATCAGTAGTGCATTTCTGCAGTTGCTATGATAGTATGGGATTCATAACATATTTCCTTCAGGGAGTCTGCATTATATCTAAAAAGTGTCACATGCCAGGACCGATATACAGTGAATGTTTCTCAGTACTCTCATAGACAGTCCCTGATAAGTCTGACAGCTGAATATTGTTGTAAACAGGCAGAGATGCTGCAGGAGAAGGCTGTGACGGATAAATGTATGAGCCGGGTCCAGACAGGCATGGAGACTGATCTCCTTCCAGACCAGTCACAACTGGGTCTATCCATAGCTTCAACGGTTCCCAGCTCCAGTGAGCCTGAACAGGTACAGAAGGAGAACCAATAAGCCAAACATACACAGCTGATTCTTATGACTGCAGCTTGCAAACTGTTGAATTATGGAGGGATTATTCTCTACACTATTAGAACCACATTAAATGGAATGACTGCTGACTGTGATGTTTCTTTATACATAAATCCAATCTTGTTTACTCGTGGTTCAGAGGAGAAAGAAATCATTGATTGTACTCTGATGAAGCTTTTTATCAAAGGTGTTATCAAATAGTCAATCAAATAGAACAGATGAGATGGGTTGGTTTGTGCTGAGACTAACAGTGATTTTTTTTTTCCAGAGCATTGAAAACATTAAGGCTGTCCTTCATGAGAGGGAATTATGGAAGAAATTTCATGAGGCCAACACAGAGATGATCATTACTAAAGCAGGCAGGTTAGTGAAGCATCAAGCACACCAAAGATTGTTTGTTTGACATTAGTTATTTTAAGCTTAAACATTTGTCATTTTGATTTGATTTTTAACTTACAGTTTTTCTGAAGTTTCTAATCTACCACTAAATGTAGCACATCCGACCTCTTGATCCATTATTAAATTTCTTTAATAAACACTGGTTAAAGTATCAAGAGCTTCTACCTAAGTAAAAGTAGCAACCACCCTGTAAAAATACTCGAAAGACCCATATTAAAATGAACACAAAATACACAAGTATGAACAATAACACAGTTTAGCTAAAATATAAAAAGTAACAATGC